GCTTCTGAGATGTTGTTGACAGCATTTCCTAGAGTGTTGCTTAGGTTTTGTAGCGTGGCCCCAAAAGAACCTGGATTTTTTTTATTATTATTTTTATTATTATCATTATTATTACTATTATTTTTATTTTTCATTTTTTTATTTTATTTTATTGTTTTTTATTTTTTTGTATGGTTTGCCCAAACAGAGCATGTTTTGTAACATTGGATATTGAGTAGTATGAAGTTTTCTGTGACTAACAATTACGGAAGATACAATAAATGGCTTTTATATAGCACAAGTCTATGGCTATAGTAGTATTTAGATTTTCCATGAGCAGAATTCAAAGACTGAAATATGTATTTAAGTCCTAGAAAAGGATACTTCTCTTTATATATACACAATTATTTTTCCCTTGTGTGTGTGTGTGTGTGTGTGTGTGTGTGTGTGTGTGTGTGTGTGTGTGTGTGTGTCTGTGTGTCTGTGTGTCTGTGTCTGTGTCTGTGTGTCTGTGTCTGTGTGTGTGTCTGTGTCTTGTGTGTGGGCATGCGCATATATACATATATAAATATATATGTATATATAATGTTTAATTGATTACATGTTTCATTTAAAAGACTGTTGTTTCTTGTTCTCAAGTACATGGAGTATGGCTTCATGAAAAACCAGATGCCACCAAAGAATTTCTAGCCTGAGTGCCCAATGCAGCATGGACGTTGGCAATGCCCCAATAATAATGCCAGTAAAAGTTTGTTGAAAAGTGGTAACTGTGGTTAAGTTAATACTGGGAATTAGATTCATGATCCAGTTCTATTTTTCTTCATTGATTTATTAATTTCACCCAAATCGACTAAACAGTTGGCAATTTATTCAAGAAATTCTTTGAAATTTGGGGTGAAAATATTGATCCTAAATTATTCTAACAATCATGAGATGATTGTACCTACTATTACTTGTATTAAAAGTGAAACATTGATCTCCATGTTAATTAGAAATGTATGGTATAATAAGGATAAAGCACAGCTGATACTGATGGATTTAAGGGAAGAAAAAATGTGTATATATAAAAGAATTTTTACGTTGTCACAAAGAATTAGCCGTGTGCAAACAAAACACAGTGCAGTACTTTGATAATGTTTGATAATGAGAAACAAAGATTGACTAAACGATGTGGAAAATTTTGTCAGTTCATCTGTTGTGTAGAATGTGTAGTATCTAGCAACTGGGCACAAAATTACACCTTTTTTTCGGCAAGATTCAAACAGTATCATATAATGATTTTGATCTTTAGTTTGATAACTGCTGTAAAAGACATTTGAAAAGGGTAGCAGTAGAGATTTTGTTATCCCTTTAGAGTATAGTATCTGTTGATCAAAATATTTAATGATCTTCATTAGTAGTAACTAGACTTGTAGGAACCAGTAGGGATAAAAGGAAGAATGTAATAGATATACTTCACTTCAGTTTCATACCCTTTACCCAGGAATAACTTAAATGTTCACCAAAAGGAAGTACCATTAACATCTGAAATGATTTTGGGAATTTGAAGGTTTTTTGGTGGTGTTGTAAACCCTAAGCTCTTGAGGCATGGTAGTGTGTCCCTTCGACTGGTGTGGTAGCTTGGCCTTCACCGCCTCAACAATTTCCCGGCTTCTTATGAGAGTTGGAGGTGTGCATGCCTTTTGCTTTCCCTTTTGGTCATAATATGATTCTTGCTTTCTATAGGTGCGTAAACTGATCCGTGAGCGATTGTATCTCCAGTCTACATCGCCTCAGCGCAAAGTTAGTGTTCTTTCTTTTTCGAGTAGATTTTTCATGTAATGGGGGTTAAATGTTTATACTGTATGTTCAGTAACACATGCCTGGAGGTAAACATGATATGGTGCTTGCCTTGTTTAAAGAAAAATTCCTTTAAATTATTCGTTTATTTACTTAATTTTGGTGCATGTACTACAAATGTGAAGATGCAGAAGAGTAGATGGGTAGACAGTACCTTGGTTGTGGGATGCCTGCACTTCACGATCGGAATTCATAGCAGTGCTGTTCTCTTTCGAACTCTCAGTCTCTTAGGGCATATGTGCATGTGTATTTGCCTTTATGGGATTTTTACGCATAAGGAGAATGTTGGAGATAAGGTATTTATACTTCCCATACTATAATGTAAGTATATCCACGATTATATATCTGACAACAGGTCTTTCAGTCTGCATATTTCTAGACACACAAACACACGCACGCACACACGAACACACACGCACACGACACACACACACACACACACACACAACACACACACACACACACACACACACACACACACACACACACACACACACACACACACACACACACACACACACAACAAACACACACACACACACAAACAAACACACAAGCACACACAAGCACACACACGCACACACACACACACACACACACACACACACACACACACACACACACACACACACACACACACACACACACACACACACACACACACACACACACACACACACACACAACACACACACACACACACACACACACCACACACACACACACACACACACACACACACACACACACACACACACACACACACACGCACGCACACCCACACGCACACACAAAGATAAAAAAAAAAAGAAGGAAAAAAAAGAAGAAAAAAAAAAAAAAAACACTTAGACATACAGGTGTGTAATCAAACACGTGCGCATGCACGCACATGCGCCCGACTGCAAATAGAGTTAACCAAATAGATTGAGAAGAATATTCATATGCATACATATACATTCAAATGGATAAATATATAGCTGGATAGATAGATAGATAGGCAGTCGTAGACATAAAGCTTGATAGCATTAATTAGGTGTCTTATATTCGTTTAGAAGGACTGCTACTTGGTCATAGAATACGTCTTTCATTCTTTTTAAATCCATTTTTACCTAAATATTTACCTCAAGTAGTTCACTGTTGGCACACAGGGTTTCTCTAATGAATGAAAAAATTGCGGAAGGCATGAACCTCTAGTCAAGTAGGATTTCTTTGGGGAATTTGGGTTCTGCTTGCAAGATTTAAAAAATTATTATTTGATTTTAGAGATATTTATATACATGTGCACACATGCTTATGTATATGCACACACATATACATGCATATGCTCACACACTCATTTATGTATGCATATACTCTTGCACGCGTACATACACACTCACACTCGCTCATTCACTCACTCACTCACTCACACACACTCACACGCACTCACATGCATACACTCACTCATTCTCTCTCTGTCTCCCTCTCACTCAACTCACTCACTCACTCGCACCACATGTATATACATTTCTACCTATGTTTTTTGCTTTTCTTCTTATTCCTATTATTTATTTCTTCATTCTTTCTTCTTTGTTTTCCTTTTCATGCCTTGTCTTTCATATTTCTTTCCCTTCTTGTCCGTTTCATCTGTCAATCTCTTCTTTTATTTTGCCTCACCCCCATTTTGGATTGCTTGTTGGCTTTTTTGTGCTTTTCATTTGTGATTTTTTCCGCCTTCATTGTGGGACGAAAAGAGAACAGCACTTCTTATTTTAGCAAAGAGGATTTAATACTTTTTATGATTTTTACAGTTTTTAGTATTTGCTTGCTGAACCGGACAGTGCTTTTGGTTTTAAGGGTTTTTCAAAAGGTTCTTCTCTCGCTCTGTCTTACTTTTGTTATGCAGAATGAACACGGTAATTGGCATAGTAAATTTACTTTGATGAATAAGCTTTTGTTATAACATGAACATGCACATGCACACACAGACATACGCGCGCACACACACACACTCACACACACACACACACACACACACACACACACACACAACACACACACACACACACACACACACACACACACACACACACACACACACACACACACACACACACACACACACACACACACACACACAACACACACACACACACACACACACACACACACACACACACACACACACACACACACACACACACACACACACACACATGCACACAGTCTCTCTCATTAGCAAATCGTGACGAATTTTGAATATCACATTTTTATGCCAGGTAAAAAGTTTGCGTGAAGAGAACATGAGTCTGCGGTCGCTGTATGGGAGCGGGAGTATGTGTGGGCCCATGTACCCCTCGTCCTCTCACGTGCCCACGCCCCCTCCCCCTCTCCTACCCCTCTCCACCACCATGACCCAGAGTCTGCACAACGGAGATGTCGACCCACAGGTACGTTGCGGAGGCTGGTCGGTGCTAAGTTGACAGCCTGGGGGTGAATGAAGTATTGGATAATCCGGATGGAAAGTTCGTGTTGAACTGTTTTGTATACTGGTGAACTGTTGGTGGAATATGTATTCTGATCATAGGTTTGGTGTTTTGTTACAAGAAAAAGAGAAAGCAAAAGAATGAAAGTATTTTCACATGAACGGGTAAGGTGTCATTTTTGAGGTGAAAGTAAAATCTACAAATGTAACTAATTGTATTATCCCTCACTTTGCTGCTAGGCTTACAATATTGTGGTAAGATGCTGTTCTTAGTGTTGCTCATGAGTTTTTTTTTTTTAGTATGTTTATTTGCTACTGTTATTATCATTTTCTCTCTCTTTTTTCCTCTCCTCTCATCTTGTAAGAATTTTTACCCTGTTTTGGCCATTACCAGTTCATGCAGTATTCTCTTCTTGAGATTTTGGATGAAGCGGATTCTGTGTCTCTTCTTGTTTTCTTTTTAAAAATTTGATTTGTCTTGGAAACAGAGGTCTAAAAGCCTTTGATATGAACTAAAGCTTCTTTGCTTACCAGTTTTAGTCTTGGCAATTTTATGGTGAAGGATTTGTAAAGCAATATAGGCTATTTTTTTCTGTTTGTTATTGTTATTGTTGAAATTAAAGTTTCTTTTATTAGCAATTCCTTGGAACACCTCATTTAATACATTTTTGATAATGTATTAGGGAAAAGTATTAAATAATTACTACTTTATATTCTTATTGGCTACTCATATTTTGTCACCACCTGATTGTTTAGAATGGAGTAAAAAAATTCTGACCAAAAAGTAGACAGAAGGAATGACAGATATTGATGCATTCTAGGTGAGTTTGCGAACCAGCAGAGGTCCAGCCCAAAGACCCTTCAGCATGTTTGAACAACGTCAAGGTCTCCCCAGCTCTGTTGGACCCTCCCATGCTATGGACCAAACAAGGACAACTTCATATCAGCTGAACACTATGGTAGATATCTTTTAAGACTGCATTTCACAGGAACCTTTTTTTCCATTCCTCTCATTCCCCAGTCTTTTTTTTTATCCCTTCACTCCTTGTCTCCTCCATTTTCTTCCCCTCTTCCTCTTTCCCAGTCTTCCACATGCTTTCTTTTCTCTATTATTCCATCATCATCTCTCCCACTTCCACCTTCTACTATTCTGTACATATCTGCTGAACTTAATCTTCTCCCATCCTGCTTTCACTTTCTCTGTCTCATTTTTCTCATCACTGCTGTTTTTTAGATGCTAACTGTATTTGAACACATTGCTAGAAGTTTAATGAATGCAAGAGCTAATATACAAATTTTACCTCATAACAGCGTGGATCTGGGGAATATGACAACACTCGCACTGGAAGTCCTAGTCTGGAACCCACGGAAACCACGCCCCTGAATCCTACGTACACGTCCTTACCAACTCAGGAGGAGGTATGTAAGCACTTATGCTGTTCATGAATACTTTAAGGTCTGTATTTTTTCGACGAATGTATAGAATTTTTAGTAGATATTAAGGTATCTATGATTTGTGTTTCTCAAAAAGATTACCACAACAATAAGCTGGACTTGATTTTATACTTCCCAGAGCTAAATCTACTTGTCAAGAATAATTGCTGTATGTTAATATGCTTTTTTTCGCACAGGTTGTAAGAAAGACAGAAGTTATCACAAAGAGGATACAAGAGTTGCTCATATCAGCCCAAGAGGGACGGCAGGACTCCTTTGTTCCCTGCGCCGACCAAATCCATTCTGCCGTTCTTGACATGGATTCAATCTTCCCAAAGGTACATAGGGAGTAGAGAGAGAGAGAGAGAAAGCCACACGGGAACTCCCCCACAAAAGATGATCATATCTAGGGTCACAGTTATTTTACACAGAGCTTTCGTATGGAATGGAGAAAGAACTAAACAGGCTTAGGACGGAAAAGGAAGTCGGGTGTTTAGCAAACCGTAGGCGGGGGAATCGTATCTATTTATATATATATATATATATATATATATATATATATATATATATTTAGTTTTAGTTTTAAGGCTCAGGGCATTTGTTTGCTTAGGGTAGAATTTTAGATGGTTTTTGTTTGGCTGGTTGGTTAGTTGGTTGTCATTTGTGTTATTAAGAACACGGGATTGAGGGGGGGGGGGTTGTTGGCAGTATACGAGTATTTAGAGAATACTTTCCTCCTTTTCTTCCAAATTCTTTCCTTCTTTGTCTTGTTTTTGTTTAGTTTTTTTTTTTTCTCTCTCTCTTCTTTTCTAACTCCTTTTTTGATTCAGTCCTCTTATTTTATCTCCTCTCCTCCCTCCCCCTCCTCCTCTTCCTCCTCCTCCTCCTCCTCCTCTCTCCTCCTCCTCCTCCTCCCTCCTCCTCCTCCTCCTCCTCCCTATCTCCCTCTCCCCCTCCCTTCTTCTTCCTCCTCCTCCTCCCCCCCTCCCCCTCCCCCTCCCTCTCCCCTCCCCTTCTCACCTCCCCTCCTTCCCTCCTCCTCCTCCCTTCCCTCCTCCTCCCTCCTCCTCCTCCTCCTCCTCCTCCTCCTCCTCCTCCTCCTCCTCCTCCTCCTCCTCCTCCTCCAGTTAGGGCAGTGGAGAAAGCAACTTTTATGTGTTATGCAAGGATGCATGTAAATTACCTGTAAATTGTAGGAGTGGAAAGTTCCTTGTCCTGTTCAACCATTCCCCAAAACCTGGTTGACAGATGATATAAAAACAAATTGATTTGAATTATTTGCTTTGTGCTGTTAGAATATTTGAATAAAAGTTTTGTTGTTTTGTGTTGTTAGTATGTCTCATTATTATTTATTAGTCTTTTCCCCTCATAGATTGGTTTTGCTCTGTCTGTTGAGGATTTTGTATTTGGATTTAGACAGATAGATGGCAGAGTGTTACTTTCTTTCATTGCTTCGTAGAGAAAGTTATTTGCTTCATAGTGACGTGGCTAAATAACACCTGGAACCTGATGATGGTTTCTAGACAGTCAGTTGTACAGATGAGCAGAAACCTTTCTTTTCAGCACGTATCGATATTTTTCCTCTCGCTCTTTTACCTCCTCTTTCACTTCCTTTATTTTCAAAATCAGTCTTGTGAAATTGAGAAAAGAGAGCAAGAAGAGAAGAGTACCCTGTGCTCGTTGTGATATTTCGGACTGTTACATTCCCTTTCCATTTTGTTTCCAGCGGAATGTCACAGGCCTTGTAAGACAGAATTGGAATCTCCTCCTTCCATCATTCTCTGCCTGAATCTCCTCTTCACAAATACACTTGTTTCATGTGAACTCTCTTCTGATTGTTTGTCTTTCCCTGTATCTATAGTAGTCAACTCGTAGAAAAGTAGAAATATACGAGGAAGATATGTTTTGATGTTTTGTTTTTTTCTGATTTTAATGCATATATTTACAAACAGGAAAATCAGAATAAGTTTAGAGGACTCAAGGAATTTTTTAAAAGGTGAGGCAGCAAAGTTGTGTTAAAGACGTACATCCCTCAGCTAATTCAAGTGAAAGTCCGTGTCACTAGACCGCACAGTTCTAGTAGTCGCTGCAGCAGATTTGCTCTAATCCTGCGATAGAGTGCAGAGGAAAGCTTCCAATGCTTTTTAGTACGTTTATGTCTTCAGTCTAGACCAACTGTTTGCTTGCACATCTGCCAGACTTTTCTTACTTTTCTTTTGTACTTCTTTCCATTTCTATTTTGTATTATTGGTTGTTCTGTTGTATTATTCAAGTTATTTGGTTATTTTGTATTCTATTTTATTGTTAGGCATTTTCTTTTATTTCTGTATTACTGTTTTCAGGTTGAATTTGGTTTTCAGGAGTTCACTTGTGTTGGAAGGTGGTATGATGAATACTATCATGTAATGTAAAGTTATATTCCAAGCCTATGTTTGCTGCAGTCATGTACCACATGGAAACATTTTGGCTCCTGTGCTTTTTATGCTACCCTGAATTGAATTAAGTAGCTTTGCAAAGTTGATTTACTTGCTTGTAACTTTTTTCTTTCAGCTTGAGATAATCATTTTGAATATATCAGACATACTGACAAGGAAGTTCATTCTTATTAAATTTTGAATATTCTATAGTCCTAATTCTTTTTTTTTTTCCATTAGATTAAGTAGTCATGATATCTTTCTGAATGTGGCTTTTCTCACACAGACTCGGTGCTCTTCTGGGGTGCAGGGAGCACTGCGCCAGCTGGTGAGCAGTGCTGGCCGGCTGCAGAATGAATGTCGCGGCCACCTTTCCTCACACTCGCACACTCTTGACCCAAAGTTTGTGACACAGCAGGTAATACAGTGTGCATATGACATTGCCAAAGCTGCAAAGCTTTTAGTGACACACTTCCAGTGAATATTACTTGCTCACAACCAGTGGTTCAACGCAGAAGAGGATTTCCCACAATGGGAGAGTACCAGATTCATGCTGGTCTGAAGATGTTCACGGTGGCATGGGTCTCGTTCCTTTACCTGCTCCTGTACATTGACCTAATAATGGTCATAATTCTGAACATAAAACTTATAGTTTATATAGGCAAAAACCAAAGTTTTTTATGTTTATTATTTTCATGATTATATATCTTGCCCTGCAGCTTAGTGACTGTTTTGGGAAATATGTAAAAGCTGATAGGGTCATGTACCTATTAGATATGTAGTCTCTGTCTATTCTGATGTTCCTGTAGTAATACAGCACGGTTTATTTCTCAATTTATAAATACATTCTCTATGCAGAATGTTGTATATGTATCCCAGTATGCAGAATGGAAATATTTTGTCCATAAAGTTCTGTGTGGCCAACCCAGACAAGAACTTACAAAATAATAAGGAGAGTGTTTGCATTTATTAATCTTTTTACTGATGGTGACTAGAAGCATTAATGATTATTTTGGCGTGTGATTCGATGGAAATCCGGGACGAGTCCCCAGAACTTCTTTGGTGGATTAGTGTAAGAATAGCGGATGGATTGAATTCCGTAAATTGTTCAGTATATGCATATTTTTGAGTTTATGGTATTCTTGATTTCTTTTTGTTCTATAATAACAATGTGATTATAAATGTGATCATTAACAAGAACAAGAACAAAAACAGAATTTATGTATTGCATATATTATTATAAGATAAAATGATGGATGTTAAGGAATACATTGGTGCTCATCGAAAGCAGTCATTGATGATTGAGGTGATATATTTATTTTTTTGCAACCGGGGTACGCTGGTCGGCTACAATGAGGCCTGTGGTGGTGCCTTTATGAAGAGAATGGACTCACGCAGCTCCAGACTGCGTGAATGAGGGAGCTCTTCGGAAAACTGTTGTTAGGCCTCGATTCCGCAAATCTGTCACTGGGAATTTGATTGGGAATGAACCGATTTGGTGCTCTTTGGATCCTTTGTCGAAAAGCATAAATAAAAAGTGTTTCATTAGAGAAGCTTAGCTGATTATGCTGTAAATGTGATATGTTATGATGCAACACTCATGCAAAATGGGGCTAGATTGAAATGAATATAAGAGCAATATATGTCTGCAATTTTTTGCTCAAGCAAGCATTTATGGATTGTTCGGCAGTAATACTCACAGAGAATGTCATACTTCAAGCAAAGGAAGTCAAGGGAGTAATAGCATAGTATTGGCTATTGTAAGCAGTACATGTAAGAGATAGCTTATGTGTTTTTTCTTTAAAAAAGGAAGTTTTAAGAGTCAAGTTCTAAATTCTGCGCATGAATGACGTTAGACAAATTGTACACTTGGCATTTATTTCAACTATTTTCTTTTCTGTATTAACCCCAGTGGGCAAGAAAGTTCATGAAAAGCAGTGGTAAAATTACTTTAGGGAATGATGTGTATACATATATGCATTTTGGAAGCACTGTGGCATCCAAACCACAAGTTGGTATTGGCAAATGTTGGTATTTGACCAAAATTTTACGTGTTATTGTGCCTTTAAGGTTACGCCTTTCTGGAGCTATCTCAATACAGTGTGCTAGGTGCTTTACAAAGTAATGTCTTAGAGGAGTATAATAGAAATGCTTGCCTAAATTAAAAGATATTTTATAACTGTTGCCTGTGTGCGTGCTGCCGAGTCACTGTTGTCTGAGCCTGAGTATGTTTTAGCGGGATTGCGGACAGCATGACACGAAAAGGTGTTCCGAATCTTCCAGATGCAAACTTAGCTATGCTCTTTATGGAAGGGTTACCCTCTAATAAACAGTCGATTGTTAAATTGGTCACTCTTCAAGAAGCAAATGGGATACCCAACAAAGATCAGAGTTCAAGGAAGTCATTTAGAACATTTGGTCGACTGGCATGCAGTTGGTTCAATCCCGTACTTTAAACTCAGGCTGAGAGTACTCTAGGCTACTTTGTGTTCCCCTCAGCTTCCATTTTGGTTAACAGTATGTGATGAAAACTTTAACTATTATGAAGCCTCTTTCCCCCCCGAGTGTTTTGTTTAAACCAGTTAGTCCCACTAACTTTGTCGCAAAAAGAAAAAAAGAATAAAAAAAGAGAGAGAGAGAAAATATCAGTACTTTATAGTATAAACCCTTTTTCCTTCCCCCGTGTCCAAGAGCTTAGTTATTTCCCCGTGTCTTCCAAATAGAGGATTCATGTTGTTGCAGTGAATACAGGTTCTATGATGTTAAGCTTGAGTTATAGTATCAGATGCTAAGGCTGAATTTTTAAATTGTTGTTTAATTATTATTTTGTTGTTGTTGTTATTATTATTATTATTGTGTCTTTGATGTAATTTGTAGAGAATCTTGGTAGTTTTGTATGATGTGACAGGAGAAAAGAGAGAAAGAATAGTCAAGATTAGCTTGTCTTTATTAAGAAAAAAAAAAATTAAATGCATATACTATATTTTTGTGGCTTTGCATTTGTAGCTTTCAAGATTTAGATCATTTCAGCAAATGCGGAAGTAAAAGTGATGCACTTGGTTCTTAGGATAAAATTGTTTCTTTTCTTGTTGCTTGAGAGGACTAATAAAACCTTGTATAGATTCTTTCCTAGGCCCTTTATATAGGCAGTTTATAATTCTTATGAAATACGTTTAAAAGTGATTCCACATGCACAGAGGCAAAGCAAACTACCCCCTTATGTGTTGTACAGATTTATTGCCGTGTTTACCTTGTATCCAGCTCATGGTTCAGATATCTATTGCATTTATTAGGTCATATGTTGAATAACTTGGCAAGTAGGTGAATTTGTCTTCACAGTGTCATTATAAATAATAGTTACATTTTTTAATAGGTTGCTGATGTTATAAGGAAAGAGAGAGAGACTTGAGAGTGATTCATATTATTCTAGGAGTTGCCATTTATAGCAGCAGCTGCTCGTGTTTTCTCTTCGGCTTAAAAGAGGCAATGTTATTTTATTGCTTCAGTACAGACGACATATCAGCAAAGGCAGCAGTCACTGATAGTTCATTCATAGCAGTTGTGCGGTTATCATGGGAACAAATCTTTTCTTAGTCACTATCTTGAAGTCCCAAGCACTAAGGCAAGAATGGATGGTTTAAATGAGGATTTTATACTCATGTGCCATGTTGCCACTTCATTCATCGTTGTAAGATTTTTTTTCTTTTTTCCTTTTTTCTTTCTTTTACCAAAAGCTCATTCTTTTCTTTTGTAGCAGAATATATTATATGAATAAAGTTGCCATGCTGCTCTTCCACCCGATATTGCTGTGGCCAAGATAGTCATTTCAAAGTCAGACTGATGATATGCCACTATCCTGTAGGATTTCAGAAGCTGAAATATTGATCTAATAAATTTTTTTTTCAATGGAGCGATAATTGAAGTAACCATTAGTTCTTTTTTCATACTGTTACTTAGTTGACCTTCCTGTTATTGCTGTCTTGCAGCAGTAACATGAAAGAAGTGAACTAAGTAAGATTTTGTGTACTTGAATAGAAATATTAATACTATGGCATCTAACATTCCTATGTTTGGTCGGTAACTGAAGCAGTAATACTATGGTGTTCATTAAAAGTACATAAACCCATATTTATATTCTTATTTATATATTCAAATTTGAAAGTATTGTATTTACTGCTGCTGTGTAAACAACAGATAAACATTATGCATATTTAGTAGTAATGGAACAATTCAACAATTGCAGAAAAAAATACTGATAAAAGGTTCTTCCAGAAGGTTCAAAATGCTCTTTCTCATACAAGTTGTTCGGATTCCAAGCTGTTCTACAAATCTGTATTTTTATTTTTATTTTTTATTCTTTACACTAGGAGAGTGAAGGATAATTGTTCCAAATGTGTGTCGTTGTGAACTGCTGTAATTCCACAATAATTGAATAATTAATCTCTTGCCAATATGTAATTTTATCTATTTTTGTGAATTAACTTTCATCTGTACATATTCCTCTTTCCCTTCATCGTTAATTAACAAGAAAATTTTGAACTGACCTGTTGTTATTTTCCTCTTTGTGTGGCTGTGTTAATCAAGCCAGGATTGTATACAGAGTGTAATATTTTGAGAGAAATATGTTCACAGTTTGCATGGCTAGTATTTCTTAATGACTTGATCATGCAGAGATAGTTGTTTAGTCACTTTTGTTCTGTAAATAAAGAATATTCTAAGAGTGCAAGTCATGCAATTTGGTATTTTTATTTGGGTCAAAATCAGAAGTTTATTGTCATCCAACAGTTGTGATTGCAAAGTGTACAAGAGCTGTGCCGAGTCTACGTACTCCGTTCATAGATTTTGCTGCTTTTCTAGGAATCGGCATGTATATTTTGAAGCTTGCAATATAGAAATAAAACCTATAGCTTCCAAGGATAAAGTATATTTAATAAATACAGTAGTATGCAACTAATACACTATTTTTCTATGGCATCTTTTTAAAATATCAGACACTAACTTTCAATGCATTACACATTAGAGGTGAAAAAAATAAAAAACAGAAGAATTTGTGGAACTTTCATATTTTGCCATTTACTGTGCACTTTGAGGATGACTAGAATTCAAATCACGATTTTTAGGGTAGGTGAAAACTAGTGGCTGAAACTGACTGACTTACGCACTATCACCAGCTAATACAGAGTGCCATAGCTGTAAGAGATAGCAAAGAGCTATTGTGAAATGAATGGTTGTTGAAATATTATATGGTTGTAGATAATCATATCTGGGGATATTATAAGAAGTTGAACCAAAATTGAGGAGTCACCCTAATAACATTTCCTTAAAACTGAAAGATCATTTTCATTGTCAGCATAAGAGGTTGGGGTTGAGAGCAAGGTGGAATGAAAGGGTTCTTGGCTGGAGGGTTTATTAGGAAAGGTGTGTGTGTGAAACCCCAAGAAACCCCAAGCCCTGGGTGCCGATGGCGGAGCAGTGACAAATAAGACTGTTGTCTGTCTGCTCTCCTCCCCTGCTGTCTGATGAGACATCCTTTTATACAGCTATTCCTTGCCAGGGCCTTTGCTCGTTAAGGTCACAGAAGTGTCAAAAGAGAAATAAGAGTGAACACCTGCGTCCGCTGAAGGAGGAAGGCAGCTGCCGGGGCCTAGGTCTGGCCTTGAGCATATCGTTGACATTCATTATTATGCCAATTAACAATAATAATAAAAAAAATGTTGTGTACCAGGAAAGCATCATTTTAAAAAGCTGAAGAAGGAAAAACCCAAGTAAGAAAAAACTCCAAAGGATTTTGTAAGTAAACACATTTTGAGAAAATGGCTATTTTCATGTCTGTTTTATGGTATTGCATCTATTCCCGTCGTACTAATGAATATATTTCAAGTATTTCTCATGGAAAGGAGTTAAGTAAGCAGCTTCCTGTTTAATCAAGTTTTGTAGAATGTGACTGCCTAAACAATGACAAAGTTGAGAATTTATTGCCTTGTTTTGGACAGACCCTGTAAATCTTTGAGTAAAATCATGAATTTAGACAAACCTTAATCCATTAATGTTGCCTTTTCATTAGTTGCAGTATGATCATAACATCTTTCACAAAGTAGCTTTTTGAGAATTATTTGAATAGTATTTTCCGGGAAGATGCCCCCACCAATCCCAAGCTGGTTGTTGCAGTGTGGGGTTTAGGAGACGGGGACTGGGACTGAATGCTAGAGATCACCCCTGCCTAAGCCCTCGTCTCAACTGTTTTTGCACGGTCTTTTCTTCTTCCCCTTTCTGTTTCTTTCTCCTCCAACCTTACTATCTACTTCTTAAACCATGTTGACAGAATGAAAGGGTGGCCCTTTATACCTCAAGAGGACACTGAGGGGTGGACTGTTCCTGTCCTCAACTTACTCCAGGCTTACCATGGCCAATAATGAAGACTTTCCACCCTTATTAGAGTCACTGAAGCTTGATCTTTATTAACAAGCCCCACAGATTTAAATTCTCCCGATTCCATGACCCAGGCTCTCCTTTGACTATGTCTGACTACCTACTATCACCTCAGTCCAGTCCAAATCATCCATCCAGGTCATTACTCATCCTCCAGAAAATATTCCTCCTCTTCCAACATTCTCTACTTCACCTCCACCGCGAAGCTTCCTTCACCTACTACCCCGTCCTCCCTTATTTCTGCTCTACAGCCTTATTGTCCACCTCTCAATACTAGTCCCTCTTCCACACGCTCCCTTCCTTCTACCCACACTAGAGACCTGAATACTCTGTTTAGCCCAGCCAAATTTTTCATGATCCCCCTTACAACCCCTCACTCCGACAACACTCACCTCTGCCAGCTATGCCTCCTAGAACGAGTGGACTAAGTTTCCCTCACCAGTGCCCCAGGCAAACTTCCACCCGACCCAAGGGTCCTGGAACCATGTCCCGTTCAGGGCATCTGGATGTTAATCATTTGAGAATTCTCTCAGCCAACCTGAGAGGATTTCAGACAAATGTTGGGGAGCTCACCCACAATTTTGTAATGGATTGAGTTGGAGCCATCTAACAAATCTTCGGATTTCCCAGTGGTTAGGGACAGGATCGGTATAGCTGTCTGCTTCCGCAAAGGGCTTGGTATTGTCTATGCATTAGACCCATCCCACCTCGAGCTGATGTTCTTCAGAATGTGGATCACGCAAGAAACTTCGGTGCTCCTCTGCATTTGCTACAGGCCACAATGGCAAGGTGCAGAGCCGATCCATTTTCTGAGGGACAATCTCGACCGCATTCTTTTTGTGTGCGGGAGGGGGGATATTGTGGCATACGCAAAGGCTTGGTATTGTGCATTAGACCTCGAGCTGATGTTCTTCGATCACGCAAGAAATCTGCATTTGCTACAGGCCACAATTGCAGAGCTAATCTCGACCGCATTGTGCCAGACTTTTTGTGGCAACTGCATTCGACATCTTCTTACTGTGTTTGGAATTCACGTTGATTTTCCAACACACATTTCTGGTTCTTCATTAGATCCCGTTCTGAGTGACTTCCCAGAGTCCTTAGTCCAGTGCTCTGCCTTAGGTAATGTGGGAACATCAGATCACACTGCCATACTCACAAACATACAGACTGCTTTAATGGCAAGGGAATGGGGGGGGGGGGGTGAAGCAATACAAAAACAGTAAAAGGTGAGAATATTTAAGAAATCCACACTATCTTCTGGTCAGGATAGAAGTATCAAAAAGTTTGAAGAGAGGTAGAGGGGAGGCAATACTACATGTATAGTTTTTATACTACATGATGAGCTGTACTCATTAAGTTACGGGTTAAGCCTCCATATCCACAACATTCCAGTATATACAAAGTCAATTATAGAGCCAGGGACAGAAGAGATTTTGCCATTCATGTTCTTCATTATGATCTTCAAAACGGGGATCAGGATGGAAAGACTTTGTGACAGAGTACTTCAGTACGAGGACCGGATTAGGCTTCCTGTTGCCCTAAAATAATAGTGACCCTCAATCTTCCCAGTACTTTCGACTCTTCTGATGATGCCCCCTCTGCCCTGTTAATCGCACCTTTTTGGTTTGATATAGTTCATCTTTGGGTTCTATGCTGTATCACTTGTGGCTTGCTTCATAAAATTTCTGGTGAAGTTAAAGATTGTTAGGTTGGTCAGGGAAAGGCTATGTTAGGCTCGGTGCATGTCTAAGTAAACTTCAAATAAATTAGATGGGCAGAGTTGATCTAACTGTAGTTCAATATCAACCTCAAAGGATTGATGTGACTAATCAAAAGCCTGATTACTAACAATGTGTAAGAATGGTCATAGTTCATTCATACTGTAAGTTATATATGTTGGATTTGGGTAATTAAAGCAAATGTAGAAAATGTAGACTACATGTTGGATTTGGGTAATTAAAGCAAATGTAGAAAATGTAGAGACTACAGCAACCTATAAGGATGTAAAACATTTTTGTACAGAATGCAATTTTAAATTTTCAGTTTATCACATTTTAAGATTTACCTGTCTTCGACCCAATGGCCTAGGCTGGCTGTTATTAATCTTCACACAGCCTTCCCCTGGGTAATTTTCCAGGTCGAAGAGAGAGCACATTTCTTCCGCAAGACACTGCATCTCAGTCCAGACATATCTTCTAACATTTGATATATCAGATTAAGAATCGTAGTGAATCTAAAGTAGAGGGAGCAAAAGTACATCAGTAAAGTCCAGCTAAGGAAGTTGCCAAACAAACAAAATAGCATTTTTTAAAGATTTGGATTAGTAGACTGAGCTATGGGGTGTATAATTTGGAAGAAAATACAAGATTTTACCACAAAAAGGAGGTTGTATCAAAGTGCTTTGTTGTTAATTAAATAATTTTCATCAATTGCAGTACTGGCTTTGGTAGTATTTATTAAATATTGTATATAAAATAAACATACAGTGATCAGGGAACAATCTGATAAGAAATCAATGAACAAAAGATTGGAACCTCTGGTTTTGATAAATGTGAACGGTCACTTTTTGCTATACAAGGAATAAGCTTGCACTGAAATCTCATTTTCAATAATTTTATCATTAAAGACAATCATCCACTGATAACAAAATAAATCTATACATAGTATTGAGCAGTCTTATCAGCTTGAAATTTTATTGGCCCAATTGTATGTACTAACAAAACTTAAGAACGTCACCAGAGTTTGTTTTGGTATTGGTAACATTGGACCAATATCACCAATGCTATCATCAATTACCACCAATGCCATTGCTTAAATAAACTAGTCCCACAGAGATCTTATTTCAGAAATACTGTGCATACCTTAATAAATGGCCACCAAGGTTTAAACCTTACTTTTTTTTTTTGACATGATTTTGGGATGTGCAATAATAACTGAAAAATGTATGAAGGGTACACAAGTGTTCCTTTGGCCCCGATTAAAACTTGTATCACTTTTTCTCAAATTTTGTAACTTCTCAATAGCTGCTTCAGTTTCACTGCTAGTTTGCCTTTTCCTCTAATTATCTTCCAGGTTGCTATTAAAATTTTTGTTTATATGTATTCCATGTGTACACATTTATTTATTTTTGTGTATTCACTTGTGTTTGCATGCATTATTTTTTGAGTGAGTACGTTTTATATGTGAATATTTTTGTACATGCCTCCATATTGGGTGCGCCTCTGTTCTCTTGTGGCTGCATGTCATTTCAGGCCGACTAATCAGAGAGAGAAAAAATAAATAGACTGGAAGGTACAGTTTCAATATGTTGTCTGAAAATTTTAATACTGACAAATATACAGTTCTATCTTTCTCCGCACTAATACATAAAAAATTTAACAAGTGATGAAAGATTAAAAGTTCCTTTTTTGGAATGTAGAACCAACAATTTCCACTTTATTTACAAGTGAGCAGAAAATAACAGGCACTTAGCACACTGCTCTTTTTTTTTTTTATAAACTCATACAAAAAGTAACTCACATAACTACATATTCATATAGTCATTTATTTACAAATATGTATAAATATAATTCCATACATAATATATTCGAATGTATGTAAAGATGATAAAAACAAATAATGAAAAAAAAAAAAAAAAGGTCTGAAGAAAGAGATATTTAGAAGGTACAAAATATTTACCAAAATTTACATTATTGTCAAGAATGCTGGCACTACTGGTTTCCTATCAAAATATATCTTAATTAGTTTTCCTTTTATTATTTTTCTTGCACTGCTACTGACTCATAACTCTTGCGCCACATAAAATGTAGCCGCCGCCTCCTGACATGTTTATCTCTGGGTGTGTCCTCATGGGCAGGACCTGATAGTGCCGCAACCACGTCTCACTCAGTCTCAGATTTGTAGCTCCTTGGGCCTTCACTTCCATAAAGAGATCCATCAGTGGCTGAAAACAAAAATGGATGACAATGATACTTCCTGTTAAGGGTCACTTGACAATTTTTTCAATATTTCAAACAAAAAACAAATAAATGTGCTAGACATCAACAGTCATACAGCACTAGCTTAAAAGTATTTGTGATAAATGGGACAAAGTTTCTGGAGTTTCAATGGTCAAATGGCATTATAAGAAAGAGGGGTAGTAAATGGAGAAGGATAGGTATTGATAGGAGGGAAAGGGTTAAGGATAGAGGGTGATTAAATTAAATGGAGGATATTTATGCATCTGGGGAAGGGAAGAAAGTTGTCAAAGGAAAAGGTAGGAGATTTTGAGAGGATGTCTGATAAATTGGTAGGTCGGGGGAGTGAGAATAGGTGATGAAAGTGGAAGACATGGTCAGTGGCCCAGGAAGAGGTTAAAGAAATTGCAGACTGGAAGGGCCCAGTGTAGAGATAATAAAATTATCTACACACAAGGGGGACTGGATACCTGGTGATAGTTCCAAAATTAAGCCATTTACATAGTGGTGCTGAGTACACTCCCTTGTGGGACACCTTTATATTGAGGAAAGGATGAAAATGTTAAGGAGGAAAATTTGAATACACCCACGTTCAATTGCATGCCATGAGATGATAGCTGCTGTATAATGTGGTACTGCCATGTGGTGTCATATGCCTTTTCCAGGTCAAAGAAAATGGCTAGTACTGAGTTATGGTGTGCAAAGGCAGAGGAGATGTAATTTCCAAAATGTGCAAGTGGATAAGCTGAACTTCAAGCATGATGGAATCCAAATTGACAAGATGTGAGAAGGTTGTGACTGTAAGGCAGAGAGGCGCTCAGCAGAGAAGGGGGTATTGTAGGGCTCTGTAGAGGAAAAGGAGGAGATGGCTGTTTTAATGGTGCGTATCCAGGAGGGAGTGGAAGGGACAGTGGGAAAGGACGGGGGTTTGGTTTGCATGAAGGAGAGGATGGGCTATGTTGGGAAAAGTGGGGGGAAGAAGGGTAGGAGGAATATGAGGGAGGAAGATGGATGTTAGAAGTCACTCTGATTGAAGACAGAGTGGGGGTACAGAAACTGGAGGATGGTTGAGAGAGAGAGAAGCATTTTCTTGGGTCATGCTTAGAAAATTTCAGATGTCAAAGGTACCTGGAGGGGAGTTAGGTAGGGAAGTTTGAGAAACGAAGGATTTTCTATGAGGAGGTAAAGCGTAGATAGATTGTTATAGACAGGCAATCAGCTGGGGAGATGGAAAAAGTTCTGGTACAAGTATTAAGGAAGGAGTTGGGTTCAGCAGGAATAGGTTTACCAGTGAGTTCAACCATGGTAGACTGTGCATAGGTTTGGGACTCAGGTGTAACTGTGACATGGCGTGAACGACTGGGATAGTTGTGGAAGGAGACTTTGCCCTTTTTGGAGGCATTGTTGGAAAAGTAGGGTATTGTCAGGGGGTATCACAAAAAATTGATCCCACTCTGAGTACTCAAAAGGGTTGTAGAGATGGGAGTTTGGGTAGGGTGAGGGTGGGAGGAAGAGGGAGTGGTGTGGAGTGATGTAGTGCTATGATGGGGAGCGCGATACAGTTAAAATGTTGTAATAAGGGAAGAGGATGTAGGAAATGGAGGCGATTAAGAAAATGGGATCGAGTTACTTGGGTAGATGATTCAGGATGGGTTAAGTTGACAACCAGTATCGATGAGAGGAGTGTACTAGCAGTGGTTGGAGCTTGGTCAAAGGAGAGTCAGGGGTTGGTAAACCACTGGACAACTAAAATTCAGTCATAATACAAAGAATATGTGGAACCCATACAGAAATCAAAGTATCTTGGCCATTTATCCTCAAAGGATGTGGTGTCATGATTTGATGAAGTGGAATATTAGTATAATAAATAATAACTTCTACCAAATACAGTTTGCACACACAAAAATGAATTTTCAAATCAACAGCCCAAAATCTATATTATGATACTTCGAAACCTCACAATAATTTTCCAGCATCCTGTGGAATACTGATACAGGTTGCCTGTGTCCACACCTGGGCATGTCTTTATATAGAATGGATGTTGCTTTGGAATCAAATGCACATAGACCCAAAAACCTGGTTATCAATATCTCAGCCACAGTTTCGCAATACACTGTCTACTTTGCTTACACTTCAATTAAGATTAACACAAAGTTTTCAATTACTGCTATCACACAAAGAAATAAAGGTATTTCTCTCTCCGTAAAACAAAATTAGCTTACAAGTAAATTCTGTTACATCAACAGCCACATGTGGTAAACATCAAACAGAAAAAAACGTTTTTCTTTCCACACGTACCTCTTTATACGGGGAAAACACCACAAACGGGTGGCCTGGCTTCAGGAACTCGAGCAACTCTCTGGTGATATTAACAGGATGCTGTCGACAAACTACAACCAGGCCATCAATTTGTCCACCTAGCACGGAGGAAGATACTTCTACGTCTTCTACCAGAGTTCTGACAAACTGAGAGAGAAAAAAAAAGAAGAGAAATGATAAGAACTTCTACTGACTGGAAATTTTCCCTCAACATCTCTGAAAATACTATGATATTCCTTGATTCCCCTTTTTTGTTTTTAAAATGGGTTATTCACAGCATTACTTTGGTCCAATGACACAAATTCTCTTCTCTGTTAAATGAACTCATTTTGTGTCATTTTGAAAAATGGACTCCTCAGGGAATATAAACGTGACGAGAACTTCATTTTCCAACTCACCTTCCGAGGTCTCTTGAAGGCCGACTTGTTATTGTCCTCATCGCCCGCGCCTTCCTTGGGAGCTTCGGCTGGGACCTTCTTCATTTCTTCATCGACACACATCTTTTCTGACTCTCCGTTGCTCTCTTTCGCTTCTACTTTAATGTCCTCAGATGCTTTTTCTCTGTTTTCGGCTATTACCTCAGTTTTGGCTGCACCTTTCAAAAAAAAAAAAAAAAAAAAAAAAAAAAAAAAAAAAAAAAATACTGATTAATTTTGCACCACACTTCATCACATTTCTCTCTCTTTAAATCACACAAAAAAAGAAAAGAAAATATATATATAAAAATAAAAATAACTACAAAATAAAATGAATGAAAAACTACTACATGTGTTTCATATAAATCCTCTATAAAACCATGATCCATATCAGTTTGTATAAACAATTCATTATTCAACCAATGTAACATCTGTTGCTTGTGAACGATAATTTCTGTGAATAAAAAATTACCAAAATTTATCCTTTTAACCCATTAGCGACGGGTGTCCCATATATGAGACACCCGAAAAAATAAACATTGCCGGGCATCCCGCCAGTATGACACTGTATCGGGGCTCGTGCTCCGACGCAGCAGCGGGCTCCAGACTACAGTACATTTGATCCAGCATTTGTTTTTTAGAATTAAAGCTACCCCAGAGTCCACGTCAAATAACATCAATTGAATTCACACTTCACTGCCATTAACGTTCAACACATACACATTCCAGACTGAGACGGAACTTACTTCTTGTCTGAGATTCTTTTCCATTCTTCAAACTTTCCAGATCCAGGTCTGGCAGCTTGGAGAAGTTAATGAAAGACAGAACTTCCAGCTCTTGTTCTGTGAAGTTCATTAGATCTACTGCCTCCCTTGTGCAGAAAGAAAAGTACTAAATCAGTATCTTTTGGAACAATGGCTGGAATTAAGGCATATTGCCAAGTAATCTACGAAAGGTAAATTATGATATTTCCCGTCAAACTGATGACAAATTTTAACACATGATTTGATTCACTAAAAGATGTAAAATCACCGCATGCTACTCAAAGCCTTACCTCTGTGGATGGTACCCCTGATAAACCTGCACTAGCTTTCCAGTTGTTCCCATTCTGTGTAACATGCCAGCGGTCACTAGGCCCTGACTGCCTGACTCGAATACTGCAAAGCGTCCACCAGACTGCACATTGGCATAGCATAATATCTGTGATAACATGTCTATGCGAAGATTCCTGCAGAGGGGATAATGGAGGTGACCAGGTTTAGCAGACAAAAAAATACTCCCAATCTATTATCTTTTGATATCTGCTTGAAGTATACATCTATACCATGCTTCTACAACAAGGTCTTTACTTACGCAATCTTGAGAGGGTCCTGGGTATAGTACATGTTGTTTAAGAGACGCAATGATGGTCTCTGCAGAGTGATCACTTCGTCATATTTTCTCTGCTTCTTATTGACATACTTCTCTTGTGAAAACTTTGTCTTGCTCTTAAATGTTAAACTGTTTTCAGTAAGAGTCTGAATAACCTGCAATACATTTAATAGCATTTTAGGGTTAAAGAAAGAAACAAGTATTTATATGAACAACTTTTCTATATGCTAACATGCAGATGCCATAAGCATGAAAATCTTATGGCTATACTAAGAATATATCACAGATACAATCTGAAATTTCTTTACATCCTTTCCTTACAGATTTAGTTTCAACCAGCCATGCACTCCTCACAGTGGTAAGCCACAATGAAATGCACACATGTATCACAAAATGTAACATCCACAGCAGAAGTGCACTGAGAATACAACTGTGTAATGTTACAAATCCTTTTCAAGAATATACTAAACAATGAACTTCCTTTCCTCGGTAAATGAAAGTGAGGAACAAAGCAAGCCACCTAAACCACATCATTTTCTGCGTCAAGTTATCCTACCTCTTTCCCTGTAAGTCCCGAGTCCTTCAGCTGACTAATCTCTTCTGGGGACAGCTTCTGGGATCTTCCGTCATCGCAAATATTGCGATTGTCCTCACCACTCTCCTTAACTGGGAAGAGAAAAACATTTTTCCACAACAAATACAACAAACAACACCCAAAAGGAAGTATGTATCACGTAACGTCTTTTTCCACACATATGGATTATGGAGAAATGTAGCCAATGACAACCCAAGGACTTACCAATGTCCTCCATATTGGTGTTCTCTTTAATCTGTATGATTTTGAAGAGTTTGTTTGATATTCTTTCCATCTTGAAGGAGGATCCGAATGCACAGCCCAAGGCTCCATCAAGATTCAGCGTAAACTGCCCTTCGCCTTTCTTACCAAATACAAAAGATCTGTTCATATTAAACAAAAATTACCAAATGTAAATCAAAGAAGAGTAATATGTATACAGTCTTGGTTATGGTGATAAAGTCAAAGAAGTATTAACAGACAACCAAACATTTATGAAGGCAATAAAAGTCATTTCCTGTAAGAAACAAGTCAATTGATCACATAATTACCTAGAATTCTTATCAATCATTCTTTTACTTTGTTGCATGTACTTTTCCTCTTTAAACTCAAATGTTAAAAGGAATCGTAACTGAACCATAACTGTTATATGACATCAATAAAAAAAAAAAAAAATTTAATGCACTTATTCCTCATTTATTCCTACAATCAAGATTAGTTTACTGCACCTAACTGAAGTTGTTTTGCATGTGTGTGTACAAGTTACAATACTTCCTATGTAGCAAAGCGAATACTACAAAGTAGAGAAAACACGAGGCTTGACTATGACAGCCTCTTTATGGCCTTAACAGCTTACATCAACACTCTGCCTTGTCTGCTTTCAACAAATGCATAACTTGCTTTATATGTGCATCCCTCTCCTCTCTATCAGAATAAAAAATATCAAATAGACCCTATCAATACCTATTCTATCACGCCTAACAAACAAAGCCATGGAAATCAGATAACTATCACTTATGGGGGGGAAAAAACATAGGAAAAAATTTATAGCAATAAAACACGCATGAAAACACATGAAGACCCTAAATGTAAGGCTCAAGCAAAGAGAAAATTGAAGAAGCACCGACCTTCCCTGTGAAACCCGACATGTCTTCATGTAGGGTCCTTTCTGCACCACAACCACGGCTCCTTCGTATATGTCTTTTCTTCTGTCTGGCATGGTGAGTTGCAAAATGCTGCAGAAGATAGAGACAAGCAAGATCTTAAATACATTAATTCTAAATCATAAAAGTCTATTTTTCTTGTACAAATTCCCTAATTATATCCATTCTTTGCCTTTCATTTTCACTATCTTTCTGTATGAGTAGCAATAATATATACATATATATATATATATATATATATATATATATATATATATATATATATATATATATAATATATATATATATAATATATATATTATATATATATACATATACATATACATACATATATATACATATACATATACATATACAGCATATACATATACATATACATATACATATACATATACATATACCATATACATATACATATGTATATATATATATATATATATATATATTATATATATATATATTATATATATATATATTATATATATATATATATATTATATGCGCAAAATAGACGGAGATATTTGGAATTCCAGAATCAGGGGTGTGCTACCAGTTTTTTCTTTCTTGAGACAGGACACTGAACTGTAATTTACTTCTAATTTAACATCTAAAAATCAGAAGAGCACTAGTTCATTCTTGAGATGGCGTGGTAGATCAAATTGCATTGTAAGAAAAAGTGGTATATATTACTATAACAACCTAAAAATCTAAGGGCACTGCCATAAGGCTTGTAAGAAATACACTCATTGATGTATGATGTTTCCTGCACATACAAAGAACGTCAGAAATGAAGAAAATGGGTAGCGACAAATGCCACGCAAAGACTAAGTCCCTGATCATTCCAGCGACTAAGTCCAGCCTTTCTCACTTCGTAGCGAACAACCTAGCTGCAGAGTAACCTAATTTAAACTGTCTTGGCATATATAGCAAATGACATCACGCCCTAATATTGTCAATCTCTTAGAAATGCATTAAACTCTTAGTGCATTTCTGTAATTTGATTTACATAAAATTATACAGAAATATGTATTAAATAAATATTCATTCCTCAGATATATAATATATTCTACATTATCATATATGCACTTAACCTTTTTATTAGAAATGCTTGTTACATCTACACTTGTGCATGCACTGCCATCTACCAACAAAATTGACAGTTCTGAATCTGTTGTTGCAGTTGTCATTGCTCATTCCAAAAGAGGTTTGTTTACAGTGCTATTTTTCCCCCCAACATTCTGGCAAAAACATTCTCTTATTGAAATTGTTTTGATCACAGGGACAACATTAAATTTGGTGACAAAACAAATACTGAGTTCCAAGCGCAGAAATTCCCCAGAAATTCATCACTTCCCAACCACCTTCACTTGAGCCATAAGGTAAACAAAATTTGTAACTTAAAATGTACAGCAGGTGGCGTTCAGGAGGGGGTCTGGGAGCGAACCCCCAGTAGGGAAACACGATGATTCCCTGGTAAGGAAACACAGCAATTGCGACGAGGTTCATTGCCCCCGGTATAGAGAAATGGCAATCAAGAGGGAGTCTGGGGACAAAACCACCGGGTGCAACAAGATTCTGGGGTTGTGAATGGGTCCCAAAGGGGATGGCTGACTGACGGGCAGAGCAACTGGGGATCTAGAGGAGCAAGTAGGTTCTGTGACTGTATCTGCGACCTCAACTGTGCTGCTCTCTCTAAGATTTGGTGGTGGATGACCCTTGTGAAGCAATAATGCCACAAGGTCAGAGGTTGCCGCCTGTGTAACTGGCTGATTATGATACTAGGAAAGCAAAAACAGTTATATACAATTTCCTTTGCATATGTTGCTTTATTCTTTGTATGGATTTCTTTGTATTCTTATGATGATTTCATATTATTTTATGATCTGTATATAAGACTGTCAGGTCGACTATTTCTGTTGCGGAAGACAGTGTTACAAAAGCATATTTATAACAATGTGAGTGTGAGTGCTTGTAGTGACAAAAAGACCGCCAAAATATGTGTGTTGGTGGCACTGAAAAGCCCGCCAAAACACACTGTAGCATGATTGGCTGGCCGGATAGTGAAATGAGATTCCAGCGCTGTGATTGGGTCCCAGAGGGGGTGGCTGACTGGTGGGCAGTGCGAGTGGGGATCTAGAGGAGCAAACAGGTTCTGTGACTGTAGCTGTGACCTCTACTGTGCTGCTCTATCTAAGAGCAGCACTCTTCTAAGGAAGAGATGGAGAGATGGAATAATGTGATAAAGCTGTGCATGTGCATGGGGTGATTGCCTTTCCCCGGCGAAAGTGATTTGTTCCTGTAAATAAACTTTATGGACCGCCAATTGCTACCTGCCTGTACCTTCGTCCCCGCTAACGTCATTCAGTGCCCTGTGTGTGAAAATACTCATCAGAGGCTGCTCACTGATCCCAGTAGGACACGCAGTAAAGGAGTGCAGCATCCTGACATACAGGGTGAATTGTTTGAGGCCCTTAGCAATTGTGAACCTATCTATGTGCGTGACCTGCCTACCTGGGAAGAGCACCCCTTCTATGGGCATCAGGAGAGGGTTATATGACAATGTTAAGACAGTTAATCACGGTATATGATGATTGTCATACGGCATAAACACTAACAATGCACCTGAGAGGTTTATTGTCAAACAGGAAACCGCTTCAAGTCCACTTCTGGCAGAACATATACGGAAGACCTTTTGCTGTAGTGCCAACATGCATGGAGACATCAGCACCCACAAAATCCACCTGACTGATATGTATACTGTGACCAGATCATATATTCTACCTATTTACTTTCCAAAGAGCTGATTTCAACCATATAATACATGTCTGGTGTCTCCTTCGAAAAATGCCTTGATTTCCGACACACACCCAATGCCTGTTCGATGGGGAGTTGGAAGCTAACCAGACTGTAGAGTATTTTTCTTGCCCAGGGAATATTACATTTTTTCATGTGCGAAAAAATCTCATTTTGTCTACATTTGCGTGGACGGATCTGCGGACGGATGATGAAACAAGGGTGCGGAAAGGTCAAAAAGTATTTTATGCACGGAAGACGATTTAAAAAAGAACTAAGCGTGCGCGGAAAGTTACCCAAGAACTACATTTGTGCGGACAGAATTTGACCATACCAATTTTTGCACCGGGAATGCGTTCCCCACTACAGTCTGGCATGTCTGGTTCCCTCGCAAAAATGCCCTGATTTCCCACGCAAATTAGGGATTTCTTTCGTCTCATAATTTCCAATAAGTCTGCTCTTAACGTATCCCAAGTTAGAGGTCACCGTAGTCACTAATTATCAGCAGAGAAAAAAAAAACAAATACAATATATAATATCCAAGGACCAAGTCCTATCCCATGCTCGTTCTCCTTATCTTAATTTACGAACACGTTCATCAGGATTAATCTATCAACGCTCATCGTCATGGAAATGCCATTATGCTCTCGAAAAATGAAGACGGAGAAGGAAATAACACGAAAAGTCTTACGAGATGCGAGTCCCGGCGGTGCAATCTTGTCAGTCTGAGAGTGTAAACAAACCCACATGTTAGGCTCTCCATCTTTGCAATGTTTTAATGGAGCTAAAAAAACTATTGTTTAATTCATTATAGACATGAAGAATAACTAAAAGAGTATTTCCTTTCCAAGATAATTATAATATAACCTGTTTATTGAATATTCTTCAGATGTATAGGTTTTTTAAAAGATGTATGATATTTCAAAAATAGTTTGCGCTTGATTTGGCGAATTATAGAAGGAAAGAATTATGTAGAATAAAATACCCTATAGAAAAATATACATAACTACATTTCACACTAAAATATTATCAAGCATCATTATAAATTCATTAACAAAGAAAACGAAGTTGTGAAAGAGGGGAGACTCGTCTGTCAGTCACTAGCTATGCCATTCATATGAATTCATAAATCAAGTAATGAAAATTGAAAGGAAAGAAAGTAAATATTATACAGCTCCATAATGAATCCTAAAGGTAATCGAAATTCTGAATCGGAAATGAAGTTAGATTTTAAGGTAAAAAGTGCATTGGCAATTCAAATCAGCTTAGGATATATCTTTCCTGATTTTACTTTGTTCCTGTCTTTGATTTAAAAGATGAAATAAAATCATGTCAAAGACATATCTGTCTGCGGAAAATTTCCTTCTCTTCATTTGTTACTCGTTTATCAC